GGGGGGGGGGGGGGGGGGGGCATTACCAGGTCTGTGGCTCCGGCCAGAGTGAACAGAGCCAGGCTGAGGTCAAAGTGCTGCTGGATGATCAGGTGACCCAGGAACGGGGCCAGCAGGATCCGGCACACGCACAGCAGGTTGGGGACGGTCCACGGGTTCTCGTACTGCACAGAAACAGGAGGTTAGCTCAGATACAGGCAGCAGGGGGGATGTCCACCTGGAATGGATCAGGTTGGGGTCAATCCACTCAGCTCTCACTTTCGAGCTACAAGCAAAACCAGGGAAATTAAACAGATTAACGAAATGTCTCTTTTTGTGCGTCTTCTCCCAAAGCCGCCTCCAGATTTTTGTTTTAGGGATCCATACAATGGAGCTCTAAAGTCTTTGTGTAATCCCCTCCCTTTGTGTTCCGACACTCCAATCCAAACTAAGCATTTCAAAAGAATGTAAACTATGAATCATTTAAGCACAAGATGCATCATTTAGCCTCATAATTTATCTGATGTGTGAAAAAGCCAAAGAAGTGGACTCAACACCAGCAGCTCTGATGGAGAGATGGATCCTCACGCCTTTGAGTGTTTTAGTATACCAAAAGAAAAGCCATACAAAAACTAAAAAATGACCAAAAATACAACCAAAAAGCCCAAAATAGAGCTAAAATGACCATATATTCACTAAAATGAAAAAACAAAGCTAAAAATGACCACAAATACAACATAAATAGAGCTTGAATGACGAAAACAAAGCTAATAATACAACAAAAAAGGACACATAGAGCTAGAATGACCAAAATAAAGCTAAAACAGAGCTAAATGTATCCTGTCAGGTATTTAACAGCAGCTAAAAGCTCCCAGAGCTCCCACAGTGGGTCAGAAACTGGAGGAAGTGGACTGAACCCCAGCAGCTCTGATGGAGGGACGGATCCTCCAGAGCTGGAGCCAAAGGCAGCAAAACATCCAGAGAAGAGCTTTGAGACGTTTTTCAAGAAGCCTGGAGAGTTTTTCCTGAAGACTCCTTACAGAAAAGACTCACATCTGGAGGGCATTTGACTCAAAGCTCCTTAGAAGCTTGTAAACTCAAACTAATTTAACTACTGTTGTTCACACTGTTTTTAATGAAAACAGCCATTTCCTGGCAATTGATAAAAAATGGACTAAACCCGTTAATACATTACCAATTATGACAGATAGGCTGAGCATGTCTGAACATCACCAGCTACAGTCCAACCAATCCAGGTAACGGAAACCCACCAGAGCTTAGTTTACAGAGCGTAGACACATAATCAGAAGCACCTTGGGTTTTACGCGGTCGAAAACAGAGAAAAGCCGCGTTGTGGATAGTTCTTCTGTCACGGCCATAATCAGTAGTCCAGTTTGGATTTAAGGTTTAACCTTTAACCTGGGTTGGTTCTGTCTGATTAACTGGATCCTTTCACAGCGTCGTCAGGCAGAGATGAATAAGATCCTGAGAAGCTAAAACCTGCAGCTTTTATTCCCTCCCTGAGAGAATGCAGCTCAGATTAGGGCAGATTTGAGCTGCTTTGCCACCGTCACAATCAATAATGAAGCATTTCTGTTGATACCAGCTGTGCTGGACGTCACACTCTCATCTAATTATTATCAAACTCCACTATTAAGTCCATTTTCAGACGAAAAACTCCAAAACAAACTATCAGACCTTGACAGATAGAACAGGGCAGGACAGAAGCAGCTGTGACCGTTTAATTCTTTCTTTATTCTTTTTTTGAGCTGTGATAAAAACAGTTTGTGGTGATGATGAACACAAACACTTGAGCTTTAGTTTTTTCCTGTTTCCTCATAAAACTGTGATGTTTTTGAGAGTTTTGACATCCCTAAATGTCACCAGGTAGAAGAACGAAATGCATTTTTGAGTTTTAATGCTCGTCAATAGTCACAATATTTATGCTAAAGCATGGAAACTAAAGTTTGTTTACCTTCAGCAGAGGGAATGCTCGTTCTCTGTTCTCTTCAGTACTTTCACGGGTTATTATGAGCTGGTAGCTAAATGCGTTAGCTAGTAAAATTTTCAGCTAACATCTTTGGCTTGTATTTAGTTCTGGTTCCATCTTTAACCCTTTAAAGCCTGATCCAAGAGTAAAACAAAACAGAAAATTACTTTTTTTTTGGTTTGAATTCCTTATTTGGCCTTATGTAAAAAGAAAAAACAGGAATACATTTTTAATATTAATGATTTATTACTATGCGATAAGTCAAGATTATTTTTTGTGTAGTCTTCTGCCCCCTGTTATCAGGTGTATCTGATTGTGTACAAAAAGATTTTGAGCAACATTTTTACCATTAAATTATGCAAAAGGTGTCAGACGCAAAACATTTCAGAAACTGTATGTATCAGATATGATAAATTTGGCAATACAGGGTTAAATGGATGTCATGACGAAGGTGTGACATCATCTTTGTCTCTTTAGCTGATTTGTTAAAGTCCATTTTACACACAAATATTCAGTTATTTTTAAACCCGACCCAAACTGCTCAGGATGTGAGTCATGCTCCTCTGGTGGCCCTTTTTCCATTTCTAACTCATTTTATTTTCCACCGGGTTGCAGCACCTGGTGTGAGCTACACTTCAGCACCTGCTCATTCAGCTCCACCTGAGCTCAAACCGACAGAACGCCGGCCTCTGATTGGCTAAGAGGGACACCATGACAACCAGTCCATCACAAGAACTCAGCCTTGTGAATTCACTCTTTCTTTGATCACACACACAAACCAGCCCATTTATTGTTGCCTCCATTGTGTCATGAAAATAAAAAAAGTGTTTCTTTTGATAATCTACACATTTACCGATTAGTTTAGCTTTTATAGTCCCTTATCAGATAAAACATGTAGGTTTGTGGTGTAAGGGTTACCGCTAAAGAGATAAGGATTGTGTCCCTCATTCAAATAATAAAGAACATGAGCTCAAAGCGGTTTAATCTTTAAACGAATTAAGAAATAGTTGTGACTAGATAACAATGTCTGTGTTTAAAATCACATAAACAAACAAAGTCTTGTCCAGTCGCCTGTGAGGAAAACTCAGGAGCTTGTCAAAGAAAAAATGTGAATTAATTCATATAGAATTACCACATAGTTAAAGTTGTCTTTTTCACTGATGCTCTAAAAGCTACACGTGTCCCCCCAAAAAAAGAAATCTTTTTTTTTTTTGCCTTAAAAAACTTGTTTCTGTGAGAATCTGAAGGTAAAATTCTGTTTATTCTCTTTACTGATTTGATATGGACATAAATCGACTTTATTTTGTGCATTTCCTGGTTTCTCTCCTTTTAATCTTTGCAGCAAACAGCAGCCCCTGACAAGATTAAATAAAGTTAATGAATAAAGAATTTACCACATCTGACTGGCACTCAGCAGCTCTTTGAACTTGAACTAAATGACTTTAATTAATTTAGAATTAACACATAGTTAAAGTTTTCTTTTTCACTGATGCTCTAAAAGCTACACAAATCTGTT